TCTATAATCACAAAACCAATGGCTACTAAAGAGGACAGCTATTGCAGAAGCTGGTAGTTAGCGTTAGCGCCACATTGGGCAACCTGCAGGGGTAGACTTTGGGAGAAGAAATTCGGAAACAATTATCAAGGTAACCAATCCAATGGGAGGAGCAATCCATTATGAAGTAACCAAGAAAAACCTCTGTAAGACTTACTTGCAAGAGTGGTTAAAAATGTGGCAATGGAAGGCTATATGCCACCCAATTACATGACACTATTGAATCATCTGGATATCAAGAACATATCCAGATATTTGCACCATCAAAGTTTCGACTAGCCTGCGGAGGATCCAAAATATGGCAGAGATCATTCATAGTATCCACGATTATCAAGTGGTAAACAAGACATTACTAAGGAACATACAACACAGTCCCTTGAAGATTAATAATAAGAAGTTTATAACAGCCTTTCGAAATGCTATAGTCCTGGGTAGATCAGGGCAACTGATGAAAATGGTATCACTAATGTGGTAAAATTGACGAACTTGGTTAGAATAGGTAGTTAAAATTAAGGTTATATGAATTGCTTATATAATCCAAAAAATATACTACTAATTTCTCAATAAAGATTCATCCTGTCAATTGGACTAATTAAAAAAAAAGAATATAAACTAAGATTTTTTGAGTGATGTGAATAATAAAATATTATAAAAGTTGATATTTAAATTAATAAAATTTTATGATTTTATGATTTAATCCTTTATGAAAGTGAATAAATAAATAGGTAAAAATTTATATTATCATTAAAGAGAAAGATATTGGAAGATAGAAACTGAAAAATTGGAAGTGAACAAATATTGTTTATATGTAAAATAGCTGATTAAATGAAGTAAGATTAATAATATTTCATATTTATATTATCATTAAATATTAATTTTTAATAAATAATTAAGAAAAGGATATAAAGAATTAAAAGTATACAGTCACTTATTGAATGAAGATTTAAGAAAGTTGTTAAATATTGAAATAAATTAACTAATATAATTAAAGAAACAAAAGTTCATTTTCTAAATAAAATAAAATTAATATGAGAAACCTTACTAAAAGAAGAATAAATATATATAATTCCAGTTGATATTCTGAAGAAGTATTTTTCAGTAAAATATTTTATGTCAAATAATTACAATATTAATTATAAATACTTATAATTAAAGGATTTTATTGAAATATTTAAATAAATATTTGAAATCAATTCAATTATTCTAGTTAACTTGTAAATGATATTATAATATTTTATATTTCTATTATATGATACCATTAGAAGGCTTGATAAATTGAATATATAGTTTGAAAGAGATTTCAGAATATGAACAAGAAAAAGAAATAGAAAAGAATAAAGAATTGATAGTTAAACTCAAAAAATAAAAAATTATTAAATATAAAAAATTATTAATATATTCAAAGAATAAAGAACAAATGAGAAAAGTATATAAATAGATATATTCAAGAAGTAGTTAAGTTAAAAAAAAAAAAAAAACAAAAAATCTTAAAAAATATTTAGTAAGATAAAATCAATTGAGGCTAGTTTTAAAAAAGTTAAGCTAAAATATTTAAAGGAGAAAAAAAAACAAGTATAAGATAAAGAAAAGAAAGAGAAAAATAATAAATAATTTAGTTAATTAATTTTATAATTTTTTGTAATTTTTTAATAAATTTTATGAAATTTGATACTAGATTTATAACTTTTGTCAAATTTTTTGCTATAATATATAATTTTTTTTATTGAATTTTTTGTTACAATATATAATTTTTTTTGATAAATTTTTTTTTATCAAATTTTTTATTGCAATATCAATTTTAGTACTAAATCTTTTACTATAATATCAATTTTTTGTTGAATTTTTTGATACAGTATGTAAAAAAAAATTTTTTATCAAGTATATAAATTTTTTTTATTACAATATTGTTAAATTTTATGTCAAATTTTTTTATTACAGTATATCAAAATTTTTTTGTTGATTTTTTGTCAATTAAATAATATAATTGAAAATAATTTGTCAATGTTTTTATTATTACATTTTATCAAATTTATCAATAATTTGACTGCTGAATGATATAATTTTAACTAGTATTACAATGTATTAATAGTCTTTGAATAAATTTTTGTATTATAAAGTTAATCTAAATAGTTTTTTATTTTATTATATATACAGTATATAGATATATATATTATTAAAAATAAAAAGTTACCTAGATTAACTTTATGATATAAAGATTTGTCCAAAGAATTTATTAATATACTGTATATTCCAAAAAACAATTTAGTCAATTAAAAATTTTTACAAATCATAAACAATATTATATATAATATATCACTTTAAAAAATTGATTTTTACCTTTAACAAAAATCACAACAAATTAAATGAAAACCTTAATATAACTTATTATCTTAATATTATTTGAACATATTTCTATAATCTTGATTTAAGAGATTATATTATATAAAAAAAAAACTTTTTTAACTAAATGAGAATAAATTCTTTTATTAAAGTAATGTTAAATAAAATACAATTAAAGAGAAGAGTAAAAACAAATTATATAATCAAATGAGTTTAGATTTGTTTTATTTAAGTTAGATAGAAAGTAAAAATATGAAGAAAAATAGTATTAGATTGATAATTAATTTTGATAGAGAGTTTATTATATTTTGGGATTGTTTTAGTTGATATAGGGTTGAACTACTAAATAGTAGTCTATGAAAATATGAATACTAATATTTATGTTTTTTTTTTTTTTTTTTTTTAACTGGCGAAGTCTTGCCATTAAGTTTTTATTTATTCATTAATACAATCTTATGTACGTAAATTTAATTGCGAGTCTATACATTTATGAAAGGAGAAAAATACTATGACTCAGTATTCTAGCAAAACTAGAAACCCTGTGACTTGCTGCAGTCCACTGGTGTGAATGCTAGTGTATCAAGACTCCACTAGCACTAATATTGATAGAAAAGAAAAAATATAGAAAATAAATGTGTTTTAAGGTGTTCACTGTTATAATATTTGTTAGTTCTATGTATACATTTGTGAAGTTACTCTTCACATACTGTTCGTGGTTTATTTGGGTTCCTGCTTCTTCCTGCTTTGTATCCTCTTTCCAGAATTTTGTCATTCGTGTTTCTGATTATTCTGTTGTTGGTATTGATATTGACGGATTCTGGGTTAATCTTTCTTTCCTGGGCAGGTGTTTCCTTTTGAGTTTTTTTGTGATACCTCGATCCTTTTCCCACTGGACTGTGGTGTCACACCAGAGTTTCCAGATGTCTTGTTTTGCTTTCCAGAATTTCTGTGTTGCAGCTTTAATAGCTTCTATTGCTAGGGTTCTGTCTTTGGTAATGGATTCTGCGAGCTGTATCATGTTATGGGTTATCACCCCTCTGATCAGATCTTGAAATTCGGTCTTGTGCGAATGTTGAAGGTTGTCCTTGTATTCTTTTAAGAAATGTGCTCATTTCCATTTGTTTTGTATCTTTTTATTTTGTTTGCCCCACAAGCTTAATTTGTAATTTTATTAAATCGAAACTATTATGTTATTACAAATGAGTAGTTTTACATATATGTTATAGTAAATCATATCTATATGGATAGCTACATATATATTTAACTAATGCTATGTATCACTACTACCAGCCCAACCCCAAACTGGAAGCCTGCGTGATTCCATCTTAATTATTCCTAGAACAATTTTTATTAAGAGTATTCTAGTTATCAAGCCATCGAATTTAGTATCCTGGATCCCGGATTTTGATCCTTCGGAGTGATCCGCGGATTTCTCTTTCCACCAAGGTCTCCCGATAGTCAAGTCTGTGAAAGGCAGCACAGTCACATGCATGAGAACCGGGACTGGCTTATTATAAAAGAGTCCTTTTTGAACACGAGTCTTTTGTATTAAGTCATTTATATCCCTGGATGAGTTGTGTTCTTGTTTTGGTCCTGAGAGGCATGCTACCAGTTTAAGAATCTACTCTTCTTGCTACCATTTCTGGTAACACGGTTGTGTCAGTGATAATTCTATCTGATTCGGATCACAACCTGATCACAATCTAGATATAGACCGGATGATATATTTAGAAACATCATTAGTTTACGGTTACGCCAATGGACAGATTCAATTCCTCGATCTGTTCTGTATTTGGGTGGAATTGAAACCGGATCTTGTGATCTGACCTACGGAGTGCTAACCACTGCACTATGGACTAATATTTATGTTAATATTCTTGTAAATTATTTAATACCATATTTTGTAGTACCTCAAATATAAAATTTTACAAGATCTTATTTTATATCGCACAAAGTTCAGATTTGATCCACTATTATCCAAATTAAAACAAGATTTAATTCAGGTCATACAAGAGAAATGGACTATGGATACTTTATATAAATTAATTTTAAACATGTCAAAACGTACTAAAGATGTTATTAAGGTCAAGAAGGGTGGACATATCAAATATTAGAAAAAAAATTTTTTTTTGATTTAAATCTATAAAATAGAAATCATTCCATTAATATCACTATATTTTTCTTACTCATTAAATAAATTTGCTTTGATAAATTTAAAACTCGTCATTTTATTTTTACTAATTGTTGTATAGATAATTTCCGGTAAATTATTGTAGGGGCGTGTATTAACAAATGCTTTAAATCCTTGTTTTATAAAACTGATTCAAAAGGGGGGTTTTTTTTTTAATACCATATTGTACATATGATGAAGTGAGATTTTTTTTTTTTTTTTTTTGAAAATTAATGGATAGATATGATTTCGAAAAGAAAACTCTAAAGAAAGTCACACCAAGCTATTATAAGGATGTGTTCTAAATCTCTCCAAGGCAGAGATAAGAAAAAACGCGGGTCACTTTTTCCTCTAAAATGGTTGTCTATTTATCTACAGAATATTTACAAAAAAAAAAAAAAACGCAAAACAAAATTAAATTAAAAACCAAGAGATCAAGATGACGATTCTTTCACCAGTAGTCAAAGTCGCTCAACGGAATTATGTAAATCCCATAATTTTTATGCAGCATCTCCAATTCCATTCTCTCTTTTTCACTGTACTCTTGTTTCCCTCCAACCCCCAGTATTTTTAAACTCTTTGTTGACTTTGCAAACTCGGAGATCACTTTTAGATGCGCAATCCCCACCTTAAAATAGCTCACTATCAAGGTTTTCAATTCACACTTGCACCCCTTCAACAACTCCTCTAATTGTTCCGCGCTCACCCCACAATCCAGCTTCAAGTACTTCAATTCTTCCGGGAAATCTCGTCCCGTTAAATTGATAACGCCCAGCTCAACGTTAGTCTCTCTGGAAATCGTCAGCTTTTCTATTCGCTTCTCCTTTAGCAATTTGACCAGAAGCGGAAGTTGTTTCGGCAGATAATCCAATACCCTGATGTCCGTCACTATCGGGCAATAATTGGCGATGGCATGAATGGTTTCTGGTGATAACACGTCCACCCACAATTTCTTAACAGTTCTTCCCACGTGCTTGATGATCGTCGCCGTCACACCAGGAGATTTTCGCGATGACCACAGCCGTAATTCGCGCAATCGATACTTGGGGCTCATCAGACTCTTGGCCTCGTTCATTGTAAATTCCTGGCAATTCCAGAAAGCCAGTGATTTCAAAGTTTGGAATGTGCTCAGGTCCTTTAGGTTGACTCCCGAGAGATTTACCGAGTTAAATTCCAAGGTACGCAAATTCCTGAACTGATACTGTAGGGAGGAAAAGAATTTGCCGACAACGGAGTTTCCGCCTACAACGTGGAACTCCTGTAGATTCTTTTGCGATCTGATGATATTCGATATATTATTACATATCGTTTCGTCATTTTCTATATCCGCAACTTTTTTCCTAGCATCATCTTCTACTTTGTTTTCGATATCAGTCAGTCTGGTCTCCGCGGAAGGAAATTGTATACTAAAATTCATGATGCTTGTGCAGATTGAAGGTAATACTTCGAGTAGCAGGAGGAAATTGGGAGTTTTTTGAAAAATTATTTCTAATTTCACGATCCTCGATAAACATGCTGGCATTGAGAATACCGATGTTCCAGGAATGTCGGTGAATTCGAAAGATTTGTCGATGGTCAGTGTATGGAGATTTGTGGCTTGACAAAGGAATAGCTTAAATAGAATCGTGACGAGGAATTCTATTTCGGATTTCATATAATTATTCCTGCTATCGTCAAAATTATTTTCGCAGAATGTTCTTAACAAAGTGTTGGCAGCATATTCCAATTCCCGCAGTGAAAGGTTTTCTAAGTAGGTCGCATAGTGATAGTATGGTGAAGGAAATTTTGAAATTGGAAGTTTGATTCTTGACGCTTTCAGCGTACTCTTTAGCATTTTCTTTTCACTCTTTTCCAAGCACAAAAAGTAGACCAATAAAAGTTTCGTATATTTTTTCGATGGTGAATTGTTATTATATTGGATTGAGCTGTTCTGCGAAAAGCGACCTTGAGATGAGGAAGATGAATAATTTTGTGACAAGGTATAGCTCTGTAGATAATTGTTTGCAGACGAATTCCGTCGTCGAAAAGGGTGCCTCCACAACACTGGAATTACATTCTTGCTCCAGAATTTGTTAACAAATAAGCAAGAGTAAAGTGCTCGCTCATCGTCGTTAAGGAATAAGAAAACAAGTTGGAGACAATCGCTGTTAAGGATTTGTCTCGGTTCGTGAGCGAAAGGAGCGGGTGCTTTTTGCTTTCTTCTCATGCGAAATAAGCGAAAACATGATACGTTTTTTTTCATTGGAATAGAGTTCCCGTCTTAACGATAGTCGAAGGATGAGTGAATTACTGTTTTGTAAAGATGAATCGGTTGCAAGGCGAAGGGAAAACTGGAAACGGGCGCCATTTATATAGTGCGTGGCAAAATCCTTAATGGGAGCGGGTGACACAAGATTTTATAAATCTTACGCCGGATTACCGAAACTCTGGCGTGTGCTTTGTTATCATGCGCAGTAAAAATGAGAGTCGAAAATGTTAATATCCAAATGTGCCGTGTATTTTTTGATAAGATATATTGAGAATAGTAACCACCTTCAATCAACTTCTTTGTTTGAATATATTGCAATAAATAAATAGATTTTTTTTTTTTTTTTAAAAAAAAAAAAGTTATTATTATCCAGTACTGCACATATGCGCACTAGCTCTTCGTGTTTTTATAGTTCTCATTTTGTACTTCCCTTTAAGTACTTTGATTGCATAAATCAAATTCTCCGTGCGTATGCACGTCGCACACAATGTGTCGCCTAAAAGTCAACTTTTTTTTTTTGCATACTGGCAGCGAATGAACACGACAACTTTTCCATTGCAAATACACAGACTTAATTGTTGTAACATGCTCAAGTTACGTCTTACCCAACGACCCTCCAAGCATTCAATATTTGTGTATGAGATAATTGATGATTTCAACAAATGAATTTTGTATATATTTAAAATTTATTTTTTCGATATACAGTACAGTACATGCAAAGACCTCGCACTAGTAACCAAATCACCATATAAAGATTAAGTCATGCAAGTCGTGATATCCTGTGCAATGGCTTTTTGCTCTTTATTCATTAACTTTTGAACCCCAAAATTGTGCCTCCACGAAATTACATACACCCTTATTACAACGCACAACGCGGATAAGTAAAGTGGCATGCTGGAATTAGGTTCTTCACGGTTCCCGATTTGATTCTGGATTTATTAGGTGAATGTTTACTAGCACATTTCTGAATCTCAAATTTCCAAGGTCAACAAATGTGTACTAAAACCTAAAACTGACCATGATCATATTGACCAATCAAACCGAACCCGGCGATTCGAAACTGTGGCAGTGCATATGCCACGCAAAACGGTGAATCAGAACCCAAAAGCGGAATCGCAGCAAATGAGAATGAGAATAAATTTACGCACAAGAATTGGTTTCACCGAAATAAATCGATAAAAATGGAGGAGACTCAACATCGAAATACCGCCAACAAAGATCCAAAAGCTGTCACCTCTACCTCAGCATCCCGAGATCGGAAAATCAGCGACGAAGAATCAGCAATTACAAATTCTTCTCAGGAAGATAACCTAGATCAAATTAACTCCGATGAAAATTTAACAGCCACAAATTCTCAGAAAGAAACCCAACGACAAAACACCAACGAAAATTTAACGATCGCAACCTCCTCCCGAGAAGAAATTCGACAAGAAACTACGATCACGACGACTTCTTCTTCTTGGGGAGAAGCTCAATGTCCAAACACTGACAGAGAAAATTCGAAGGTCACGACGACTTCTTCTTCTTGGGGAGAAGCTCAATGTCCAAGCACTGACAGAGAAAATTCGAAGGTCACGACGACTTCTTCTTCTCAGGGAGAAGCTCAATGTCCAAGCACTGACAGCGAAAGTTCGGTGGTCATGGCGACTTCTTCTCCGGGAGAAGCTCAATGTCAAAATGTCATCGATGAGAATTCAACGGCAACGACTCTTTCCCAAGGGTACCTTGACAAAAACCATTCGAGTCCTTTGTATAATGTTCCGGTTGAAGTTTTCATAAAAATTTGCAAAGATATTCCTCCACGTCAACTTTACTACCTCTCAAAATCATGCAAAAAATTCCACGCTTTGCTGATTTCAACCGATTTCGGCACCGAACAAATTTGGAGGTCTTCGAGGAGAAATTTCATGCCAAAGTTGCCGGAACCACCGAGAACATTTTGGGAGGGACAATGGCTATTTTTAAATATGATTGACTTGGGATGCCAATTCTGCGGATCCGGAGCTATTGAGCCCAAGGGAAATCTACCATCCGAAGAACCCGTAAAAACTTATTGGATATTTCGCGTGATGTGCTGTAAAAGGTGCTTGAGGGTGAGGACTGTAACGTATGTATCACCATCCTTTTTCTTTGGACAGTAAAAATGATGTCGGTGAGGTAACCATATTTGTGATGGTAGAGAACTACGAGTGGAGGAGGAAAAAAAATTTTTGCTAAAATTTCTCCCTTGCTTGGAATTTAATAAACGACCAAATATTTACTGGAAGTCAGACGTTGAGAGAGCCTACGAAGAGTTCCACAATCTTCCCCGGGAAGAGCTCAAGGGATGGATCAGTGATAAACTCAAAAAGGTTTATGCGAAAAGGTGCACTGAAAGTTACTGTGAAGATGCCTGTGTTAAAAATAGCGAGATCAGAAACCACAAAATGAAGCGTTTCAGGAACGTGGCAAATGTATTGTCGAGCAAGGTACCCAATGACGCGAGAATGAAAATTACCAAGGTGATCTCGAAGATAAAAGAGCTTCCAACTTACAAGAAATATTGGAAAAATATGAGCTCCGTGGTATTGTTTAATGACCACCATTGGCAAAAATTTGAAGAGATCTTGTTGAAAGAATGGAATAATAATCGCAGAGACGCGATTAAAGCAGTGAGATTATTCTCCATAGTTTTAAAGGTGAGAAAAAAAATTCCAGGTTTTACAATACAATTAATTTATCTGTTTGAAAGTGCAACCTTTTTTCTTTTCTAATTTAATCCTCTCCGCTTTCAACAGATATACGACAATTATGCTCCGGGGTCAGCGCTTTTCAGCTACCTTTATCATTGTCCGACGTTCAGGGGCAATTATCCTCCACAATTCAGTGATCCCGACATACCTTTGGACGAGAGTTTTGTTGATAACGAGTTCATACCAGAACTCATTATAGAAGCCTACGAAATTGCCAACAAGTCCGAAAGACCTCCTCCGATCATCACCATCGAAGGGGTCAAGAAATTTGGGTATAAGGACAGGTTGGTTATCCAATGTAAACTGTGCAAGAATTCGAGTTCGCAGAACAACGGGTTGTATACCATCAATGGTGTTCAGAAGCATTTGAAGGCGGAGCACGATTTCGAGGAAGACACAAAGGAGATGGAAAATTTCGTCGAGGTAGATTGGGTGGAGGTGGGAAGAAATTTTTTAAAAAGGAATTCCGCTTCAGTCTGTTTCTATTTCCCCCCCAAGGATAGTCCGATTAAAAAAACCCAACCTCATAGAAAATTACATGTTCTCGTTATTTAGTTGTCCGAGGCAGATCGGATGACATCCTTCTTTTTTCCACCTAACACTGCTGCTGCTATCGAAATTCCGTAAAAAAGAAAAAAAAAAGAATTCCAGACAAACTGAAATTCATGTAACATTATAGCAATAGTATTTAATTTTATTTTTTTTATTTTATTTTATTTTTTCACTGTATTTTATTTACAACAACTTGATCTCTCTCCTGTTCCCCACTTTTCTCTTACCCTTTCGGCATACATACGTCGAATTGAAATATAAAAAGCATTGAATAAATAAATAAATGTATTTTATCAGCAACCATCGGTATTCAACCTGACTCCGCCTTCACGCCATCTTTCTCTATCAATGCATCACTCTCCCCGCTGACTCTCGTCTCTTGACCTTTTTCCAAATCGACCATTGTTATTCCTTTCCTTAGCATATAATGCCGTGCAATGCATGCAACAATTAACATGTAGAAAATCATCATCAGCGCAATACTCGTCTCACAGAATTTCCTGCAGGCGGTTTTCGCCATAGGGAAATCTCCATGTTTCTTGGTGAGGTGCCTGGGAAGGTAATATTGATAATAGTGCGGAGGATGAACGTTGCCTATCTCGAGAATAATACCCTTGATAGATTTGTGATGGTGATGATGATGATAGTTTTTGTGGTCAAGGTTTGAATGACGTTGATGACAACAATGTTCATACTCGATGGAATCCGCCTCGTGTCTATGATGAATTTTTTCGTGAGGGTGGTTATGATGTCGGTGATTATGATGATGGTGATAATGATGTCGATGTGAACTAACGTCATTTACATAAATTACTGATATGAGGAGGCATAGGACGACAAATATCGATGATAGTGACCGAGGTTTATGAGTTATTCGAGGCATGTCTAAACAAAAGTGGAACTAGAAAAACTTTGCTGCTTTTATAATAACCGGTCACGCGCACTATGACGCACACGAAACATCGGATTGATGTATGTCTGTCACATAGAAAACTTGTTTCATCATCATCAGGTTTTACAATTCACGAATCGCGTTCCTTCACGTGAAATAGCGGTTTGTGGTTAATATACAGTATATAGAATTTTTTAGCATTGCAAAATTGGTAATTCAATCTGACATATTAAATTGTTAATTTATCAATGTCTTGGCATAATAAAAATCTGAAATTGATTGAAAATTATAAATTGAATATCTAATTTATTTTTTTCTTACAAAAATTGGTCCCAAGTCCGAAACTGCTTTTTTTTGAGATCCCAAAACAGGACAAAATGGAACACATCATTACACTAAACTCCAGACGATCACACCCTACCATTTATAAGTTACTTTGAATGACATGTGGTACGGCGCATAATTTGTCCCTTTTTACTTACTATTAACATTTCGCCATGAACTGTAGTGATGTTCCTCCGTCAGAGGTAATGCATTTCATTTAAACAATTAGGCATCGTTATTACTACAGCATTGCTTTTGCTCATCGCATGGCACTCCCTTCCGGTTCGACGACAGGCTCAAAAATCCTCCTCCGTTATCAAATCTTTAAGATCCACCATTGTCCAATATGAGATCGAAATTGATAGTCTGAAATCCTTGAACTCCGCTTTAAAGTCTCGCCTCGCAAAGCTCCAGGCTGACACGAGCGCCGACTACGAAGTCGAATTGTTACGCGACGAGTGTTCAAAACTGAGGCTCGATGTATCAAAATCCCTGCGAGAGAAAGAGGAACAAATGATCAAGAATGAAATCCTTCAGGAAGAGGTCTCAAGACTAAAAAACGAAAATAAGAATCTAAAGAATGAAAATTATAGTCTTCAGGATGAGAACTCCGAAATAAAAAGCAGGAATTTAAACTTGAATTCTCGGTTGAACGATAAAGAATCAAGTTCTCGACTTGATTACTTGGAATTGAAAAGAGAACTGTCGGGATTGATGAATGAGAATTCCAGGATGGCCAACAGGAATCACGCACTTCAGGAAGAGGTTGCAAAGTTGAAGAGGGATCACGAAGAGGTCCAGAAAGAAAGAGATAATCTGATGAAATTTAGCAAGTCTCGAGAATTGACGGAATTACTTGCCAGCATAAAAATAAATGACGATGGTAATGGTAATGATGTTGTCTATGAGCGTTCGAAAAATAAGGTTTTACTTATAACCAATATTTATTGTGCAGACGGAGTGATGCATGATGCGTATTGCGATTGGTGCGACCAAGCCATCAAAGGAGTTCGTTACAAGGTATTGTAATTATATACGATATACTTGTTAATTAGTTTATACGTCACATATTGACACTACATAACTCTTGTTTTGCATCATTTATTAAAACTCGAACCTGAATAACCGGATCATCAGTGTGGCAACTGTTCAAATTATGATCTATGTGGTTCATGCTTTGGTGCGAGTCACGATCCCACTCATGTATTCCTCAAGGTCCGAAGACCTCTGAACTTGAGTTCGGTCACTCCCTTGTTACCCCTATTTATGACAACGTCTACCAGTAAGTGTTTGAAAAACAACTTCTTCACTCTTGAACACAATTTCCCCTGATAAAAATTTCGATAAATGATCACCATAGGCACACACTTTGGAATTAGTTGTGACGCGTGCGGAAAGGTACCAATACGAGGTGTCAGGTTCAAGGTATTATTTTTCACGTTGATACACGTGCACATTTATTGTCGCGCATTTTCACACTAATATTCCCTCTATGCACACACGACTGCAGTGCATTCAATGCCCAGATTTCGATGTCTGTGGCCAATGTGAGCCCACACATCCGCATGATCCTTCGCATGTTTTCATTAAACTTACGAAATCCGTCATAAGGACTAATAATTGATGCCCAAACAATTTCTGGACACCACCCAATGATTTTGGCGAAGCAAACTTTACTTTTTTATCATTATTTCAACCAAAATATAGATTCTCCTTTCCTTTTTTTTTGCCACTTGAAGCGCATACAGAATGCTGCGCCCAAGAAAGGCCTTTGATAGCTCTATGCATCTCATTGTAAATATTACAATAGAATCCCATGGTGTTGAGCTTGTTTATCATTTTCCTGAATTTTTTTTTTTTTAAATTTTTATTAATAATACAGTAATTACTGTAGTATTAATTCAAATTTTATTTGCTTATGTATAGTAAGTAATATCCGATAGTCATTTTTATGGTAATGTATATACTGTAAATTTGTCTATTTATTTATTTATTTATTTATTAGAAGAGATATTGATTCACAAAGATTTGGATTCACTTGTTACGTTTTTATTAGACAATTTTGAAATACATAGTTATTATACTATACATCCAAAAAATATTATATTGGTTAAAATTTTTATTTCTTTTTTTTTTTTTGAATTTAATAAAATTTAACAAATATACAGTATAAAAGTATATATACAGTATTTTTATATGGTTTTTTCTTGATATAGATCTTGAGAAAATACTATCAAATAAGTCAATATGAATTGAAGTACTTATTTTGATAATAGATTTATAATGATGTTTGTGAATTTTGAAGATAGTTTTATCTATTTTATGATAGACTTTAGGCTATTGTGATTGATTGAGTTATATGCTTTGAAAATATCAAAAGAAACTATCAACACTTTCTATTAAAATTGAAGTAAGTAATCTAATAATAGTCAATAGTTATGATATACTCTAAATTTTATTTCAACAAATTTAAATAATAATAAAATACTATATTTAGCAAATATAATAAACAATCTATCGTTAATAAAATAAATTTGATATCATTTAAACTATTAAATTAAAAAATAAAAAAAATTTTTTTTAAAAAAATAATGAATTTTTTTTAAAAAAATAATGAATTATTTTTATATTTTTAAAAGATTTTTATTTATAATAATTTTATTGAAAAATTATTTAAGATAATTAGAATTGATTATTTAATATGTTTTTAAACTTTATATTTATAATCCAAGTATATTATTGGTAATATACAAAGATCTATAAAAGAGCTCAAATTCTTTGCTACTAATTTCAATTAGCATCAATTTTATAAATTTTAGCAATGCATCTATTGCACCATTTGATAAATTAAATCAAATTCTATAGTTCATAATCCAAAATAAAATCTACATAAAATAACTATCTGAAAATTTGTTAAAATTTGATGAAAATTCATATTTTGAAGTCAAATAATTTTCAAATATATCATTTATTTCATTATCATCATCAACTTCAGATTCATTATTTTTAAAACTTGTATTATTCAATCTTAGATTTTATTGATTATTGCATAATTACATAATTCAACTTGATAAAATTTTCTCATTTTATACTGAAATGTGAATTCTTTATTTGTCAAATGTTTGCCTTTTGTTTTTTAATATTTATAAAAAAAATTTTTTGTTCATAGGGTAACAAGTGATCCATTGTATTTATTACAATTTTAAGTAATTTTTACTTTTTTAGGATTTTTTCTTAAACTTTCATTAAATAAAGCTAAAATTAAATATTTTTTTAACATTTTAAAAATTGATAAATAGTAATATAAAGTGGCAAAGTTATGATTGATATATTAAATAACTTTGAATTATAATATAATACAATCATAATATGATAAATAACATATAATATAATATAGTATGTAACTTTGAATTGTAATATAATATAATAAATAAAAGTATAATATTATATGTAGTCTCAAATTGTATTAAAACAATATAAATTATTTTATTTAAATAACTCTTTATTAATTTAATATTTTTTTGTTGATATCTAAAATATTTGAACAAAAAAATCAATTGTATATACTTTTTACAAAAAATAACTACCTTCACCTTTGTAACCTTTACAATATTTCTTGTTATTATAAACTTCTTTCATATCAACTATATCAAAAGTAACAACAGTTTATTTAGTAATATCTGATATTGAATCTTTAATTCTTATCATAACAACTGAATTGTTTAAAAGAAAACCATTTATTGCATTGCCTGAAATATTGATGTGTGAAATTATGTGCAAATAACAATATCAAAAGTTAAATTATTACCTGAAACTTTAACCAAGAAGGATATTGAAAAAGATTAGAATTAAATTATTGTTAAATTATTAAAATTTATCTTATTAATCAACTGATTTATTTAAAAAACAAAGAATTGTGTATGCAAATCAAATAACTAAAAAGAAAAAATGTTAAACTTGTAAAATAATTAAATCTAATGAAATATATTAACAACAAGTTTTCTAAAGAATCAAAAACAGTAAAAAAATAAAATAAAAGATTTAAAAAAGGAAATTAATTGGCTCAAATCTGTAGGACCTGAACTTAATTCTATAGTAGTTGTAGAATCTAGAGTAACTGATATATTAAAATCTGAAAGTTTGTTTAGATTAGAAAAGCATTGAAAATTCAATTTAAGAGAAGTAATAAAGAGATAAAACTGGTAAAACCAATTATTAAAGATAAGTTAAAATCAGAAGAAGCAAGAACAGAAATAAAAGTTTTAATGAAAACCATTTTTGATAAATATAAACTGAGGATAATTGAAGTTTTTCAAGTAATATGAATAAAAAAATATTACAAAAGTTGATACCTGAATTAATAAAATCCATAAATTTATATTTTAATTTTTTACAAAAGTAAATAAATGAATTGTTAGATACTTTATATTACTATTAAAGAGGAATATATCTGAAAACAAAAACTGGAAGACTGAAAGTGAACAATTATTACTTACAAGCAAATAGTTGATTAAATAAAGTAAGATTAATAATATTTTATATTTATACTATTTTCAAGTATTAATTTTTAATGAATAATTAAGAAAAGGGTATGAAAAATTAAAAGCACATAGTTACTTATTAAACAAAGGTTCAAGAAAGTTATCAAATATCAGAATAAATTAATTGATATAATTAAAAAAACAAAAATTTATTTATCTAAAAAAAGTGAGACTGATTTGAGAAACTCTACTAAAAGAAAAATAAATGTATATAATTACAGTTAAAGTTTGAAAAAATATTTTTCAGCAAAATATTTTGTACCAAATAATTACAATATTAACTATAATTGCTTATAGTTAAAGAATTTGTTGAAATATTTAAATGAATATTCAAAATCAATTTAAATATTTTAGTTAACTCATAAACAATATTGTAATAATTCATATTTCTATATTGTGATACTACCAGAAGGCTTACCAAATTGGATATATAATTTAAAAGAGATTTTAGAATATAAACAAGAAAAAGAGATAGAAAAGGTTAAAAAATTGATAGTTAAATTCAAAAGATAAAAAATTTCTAAATATAAGAAATTTTTAATGTAGTTAGAAAATAAGGAACAAACTGGAGAAAGTATATGAATAGGTGAAATTTGAGAGCAGTTAGGTTAGAAGAAAAAAGTAAAAAATCTTGAAAAACGTTTAACAGGATAAAATCAATTGGGGTTAGTTTTAAAAGAATCAAGCTAAAATTTTTAAAGAAAAAAGAAAAGCAAGTAGAAGAGAAAGAAGAAGAAAGTAATGAATAATTTAATCAATTTTTTGTAATTTTTTAATAAATTTTGTAAAATTTGTTAAACTTCTTGAATATTTATTGAATTTTAATACTGAATTTATAACTTTTGCTGAATTTTTTGTTGCAATATTAATTTTTTGTCACAATAATTTTTTTATTGAATTTTTTGATATAGTATTAATTTTTTGCTGAATTTTTTGTCACAATATCTATTTTTTTAACAAATTTTTTATCACAGTATCAATTTTTTTGTCAAATTTTTTATCATAATATGCAAAAAAAATTTTTTTGCTACAATATTATTAGATTTTGTATCAAATTTTTTTGCTGCAGTATATTAAAAATTTTTTTGTTAATTTTTTGTCAATATTTTTTATATTAAGTGGTAGCCAATTAACATAATTTCAACTAATAAATTATAAACTTATATCTTTTATTTAAGTTCATCAGATAATAACAAAGCTTTAATAAATTAAAGCTAAAGTTTAAATACTTTCTTTAAGATATTTCAATCTAATACTTGCATAAATAAAAGATTTTGTTGAATTGACTTATCTGATATCACAAGTAATAAAAAAAAAGATTTCTTTTAAAATTTAAATAAAACAAAAAGATTATTTCAATTGAACAAATT